TTTTACCTAGGTTTCTTACTATATATGGTCCTGCCTGTGTGTAACTTTAAGACCTTACGACCTAAGTTAGTTTGTATATAACAAGTTAGATCATTACATACTTAAATGTAGTTATTTAAATGTAGTTTCTCTTCAGTATATGTTAGTTTCCTATTCATCAGAATGACCGTTCTAAGTTCTTTGATTTTTGACAACTAATTTTTATGTGGTTATATTTTGTTAATTAAATGTAAAAGTGAGCCATAAAAGAATTTTCTTAACAACTTTTATATGTTATCTTGTGACTATGTTTCAAGCAGACATCACTGTTGACCAGTATTATGTTTAGAAATGGAAAAAAGAAAGATGGAGATCAGGGTTGAGTTAGGAAAAAAAAATTCAAATTGAAGATTAAATTCAGTCTTCCACTTTTTAATAAACAGAATGTGTTTATGCTTAGTTATGCCTTCCACTGATATAGGAAATGTTTATTTTTACAAAATTTGGACTGATCCCAACTCTTCAGAGCTATGTATTACATATAATATACTTCTGTAAATGTTTGCTGGATAACAGAATACCTGAGGAATAATGGAATAGTCTCTTGCATCTCGTAAGCTTGATGGTTTATACTTAGTTTCTTGAGTAGACTTACATTATTAGGAAACTTGTTCAGTTATGCTTGTTTCATGAAACTTCATTTATACAAATCTGTACACAAAAGGAAAAATTAGGAGGCAGTTGTTAATGTTTATGGTGGAATTAAACACAATAAATTTACTACACTTACTCAGATTCAAACAAGTCTTTCCAATCTGAATGTTTTTGCCTAAAGGTTAATCAGGGGACTTTTGCCCTTCCTCCTTCAGTGTATATCAACCTCAAGCATCTTCCCAAATTCAGTGAATAACATCATGCATTATATTTCAACCTCACATACCCTGTTTACTTCTTTCTCTCTCTCTCCTCCTCTCCTTCTTTCCTTTTTTTATTTATTTTTTTTTTGCCATTAGCTAGTTATATTTTGAATTATGTTTTCTTTTCTTTTTTCCAAATGTCTGTCCTTAGGGTTGTCCTCCTTTGATCAAGGACTCAGTCTCACTTGCTGTGATGTCTGTTATATTCTAGATGTGAATATTTATAGTTTGATAAAAAAGCCCATTTATTTGCTAACAGTATACAAGTATATTTTAAATGGCCAGGTTTCAAGGCAGTGCAGTTTGGAGTATTTGTGACAAAGATCTTGCTGTGCATCCACTTTTGGTGTCATTCATGTTGACAGGTTTCAGATCTGATGTTTCCTTGGTTTCTTGCTCTCACATTGCCAGTTTTGGTTTAGCATTTCCTTAGTCCTAACCTGACATTCTGATGTGGCCACGTTCCTGGAAGCATTTTGTTTAACATCAGGAACAGTGACTCCCAGACCTAACCTCAGCATCCCCTCTCTATGCTCTTACTTCTCATGTTTATGAGAATTTGCAACTTGAAGTTTGAATTGGCCACATCTGACTGACTTGTAATTAGAGGATATGTGAGTGTGGTTGAATGTGTGGTTTTCTGTACCTGTTCAAAACCCTAGACTTCCTGCTCTTTGTTCCAGAACTTATTTGGTTTAGCTACACAGAAAGACTCAGACCCAGGAAAACTAATGTATATAGCTGCTTACCCAAATTCATACATAAGGCTTAGTGAGAGTTGAAAGTCGATTTATTTACCTTTCCATGATGAAAAGAATACAAAACACTTCTTTACTAGCAGAAAGATCTACTTATAAAGTCAAATAAGGTTTAAGAAGTTCATGACACTACAAGGAAATTAAGACCATTTAAAGCTTGAAAGTTTGAAATCGTCTGGTGAAATACTTACATTCTTCACCATCCAAAAGAAATGTATGTATGTGTAAAAAAACTACAATTAGGAGGAATAATGTTTGAACAATTATTTATTATTTATAACTTTTTATTGTTTTTAGTTACTCCTTCTGATTATTTGATAACCTCTTTATTTAAAATTGGCATAGCTATTGCTATAGTGAGTAACATATATTGTTAAGTAAAAGATAAGCAGTTCAAACCTACCAGTTACTCTGAGGGGAAAAAGCTGTTCAGGCGGGGTGCGGGGAGGGGGGGATTGTGTACCAAGGGAGAGAGTTTTTCTTTTACTTTTCAAAGAGATGAGCGAACTGGGGTAGGGGGAAGGGCTGGGTGGGGAGAGAAGTGCAGCAATGAATGAATGGAAATCCAAAATCTCTGTAAATGTTTATTAAAATTATTAAAATAAAATAAAAATTACAAAAAAAAAGATTTTCAGCCTCAGAAATTCAGTGGAGAGTGTTATGAGTCGTACTAGATTTGAGGGCAGTGTGTGGGTTGATTTCTTATTTAGAGCAGCTCATTTTAATTCACATTATACTTGAAAAAGTCATCTGTTTTCCTCAGGCACACGTCTCTTAATGAATTGTGAATTTCAGGTGGGCATAAATAATTGTTAGGAAAATATCCTTTCTTTGAAGTAGAACTGCTAACTTTCACCACTTTTACTGCTTATTTTGGAAAAATGTATGGAAATCTATGTATTTCTTTTTCTTACTCCTTGTTTACCTCCTTCCCTAATGTCCATTTTCTTTTTCATTTTAACTCTTTCTCCCCTTCTTGATGCCAGTATTTAATTCTCTGCTCTTTGCCAGCCTTTCATACATGTATTGAGTATGTATTTTGTTCATTGTGGTAAACAAAACAAAGCTCCTGCTCTGTATGGATTTGTAGGCTTCACTTTCTTACCTCTTTCATTATTTTGATGTGTCCATTATTGTTAAAAAATTAAACTAACTTAAAATACCTTAGGAATGGAAATTGCATTGACAAATAAATACTTGTTGACTTAATTTTGAGAGAAGCAGTAAATTACTATAGAGGAAAACAATATTCACACATATATTTGAAATGATCTCTTACTTTTTTTTAGGGAGAAATGCTCTTCATCTGGCTGCAAAATATGGGCATGCATTGTGCCTACAAAAACTGCTGCAGGTAGTAAAGTGGTTAATACTTCAACTTTATTATTTTGATTGTAAATAACACACTAATGAATTTCCAATATGTTTTTTTTATTTTGAGATCAAAGAATATGGTAGATTAACTTTGACCATTAGCTTCCACAATATTTTTTCCACCATTTATGAAGGAATGCGAACAATAAAGAACAAAAATTCCGGAGGAAGCGAATTGCATAACTCAGAGTTTTAAAAATAAATAACAAAGACTTGACCTTCCTGTTGACATGAGCTGGAGAGTAGAGTTTTCTGTAGTCTCTTTTATTTTATAAGATAAAGTGTTACAACATAAGATTTATATTTTTCTATGTAAACACAGATAACAGACTACATAATATTTTTTCCAGGTAACTACCGAATTCTAGGAACCAGTTCACTGAATTAATTTTTCTGTCAAAGGTTCCAGTCAAATAAGCCCATAAACTTTTTTATCATTACACTTCACAGTAGATTTCATGTGTTTTTTTAACTTAGTAGTGCAATTTTTACCTCTTACTGAAAACAAACAATAGCATATTCTCCACATCTCATGCTATTGTAATCTAACATATGGTTTCCTGTTTGGTGAAGTTCTATTATATGTCATTACATTTATTTCATGTCAAAATATTTAATAAATTGTCTAGTGCCTCTTCATTTCTTTGATAAGTGGAATATTTTAAGATTAAGGAAGAGCTGTGGGTTTGGGTTTTTTTGAGGGTATATAAATACTTACTTTAAAAATGAAGCTCTCCTTCTTTTCTCTCATTTCTCTAGTATAATTGTCCCACTGAGCAGGTTGACCTGCAGGGAAGAACTGCACTTCATGATGCAGGTAAGGGAAGGTCTCATTTGGATAAAAACCAATTATTTGTAAATATGGCTTGATAATTTATTTCACAGCTTTAACATATGCATATATTTATCTAATTAATGAAGAATTAAAGAATATTAAGCAGTTTCCATTTACTCAAATGTGAAATTGATTACTCTATGCATCATTAGAAGTTTTCTCATTCAGTCGTGTCAGGGCAGTTAGTTTACTGTGTATTCTGAACTGATGACTCAAAGATAAATAAACCATAATCCTGCTTTTGAGGAAGTCCTGCGACTGCCTGTTGGTTTCTTTTGGAAATTGGTAGGAAAAATAGGAAGGAAGATTTTTCTCTTTTTTAGAGATTATATCTACCTAATTATATATCTAAACTTCATTTTTCTCATCTATAAAATGAAGTGTTAATGATATGTTACTACAGTAATATATGGTTATGAAATTTTGTTGTGCCTGGCCTATTTTAATTTCTCAGTAAGTTTTGATTTAGAGGTATTAGTGCTTCATTTTATATTACTGTAATGCCCTATTTTAGACAGATTTATACTAGTAGTTTTGTGAATTTTATTTGCCACACGGATGCATCTGAATTTAGATGCATTATTCTTTAGGTGTCTTAAAGAAGATACTTTGGAAAAATCTAGATTTTTAGGTCTTTTTGGAATGTAAGATAGACTGTTTTCTTGACTGAGTCTTCTAATCTGGGATTCTTACAATGTATAAATGTGATTTATAAATCACATGGGAGGAGTTTGCCCATTCTTCTCCAGTGGAGCAGCTGGTAGTTTCAAATCGCGTGCCTTTGGGATTGCAGTGTAACTTCCTACCACTGGAGACTCAGCCATCAATATGAATTACAGCCCAATATCAAGAATACAAAACTCCTCACCACTGGCCAATAGGCAACATCATTATGGATGAAGGAAAGATTGAAGCAGCCAACAACTTTGTTTTACTTGTATCCACAATGAATGCTGATAATAGCAGCAGTCAAGAAATCAAATGACATGTTGCAATAGGGAAATCTTCTGGCAAGAACCTCTTCAAAGTTCTAAACAACAAAGATGTCAGCTTAAAGTCTAAGGTGTACTTGATCTGAGCCTCCTTCAGTTGCTTCCTTTGCTTTTGGAAATTGGACAATGCATAAGGATGGCAGAAGAGGAATCAGTATTGAAGAGGGTATTGAATATACCATGGACTTCATAAAGAACAAACACATCTATCTTGAAGGAAGTGCTACCAGAATGTTCTTTAAAGGCAAAGATTATAAAGCTTTATCTCACTTACTTTGGGCATATTTTCAGGAGAAGCTAGTTCTTAGAAACATCTTGCTGGGTCAGAGAAAGAGAAGACCTTCAGCAAGATAGATTGACACAGGGACTACCAAAATAGGCATGAATGTGACAGACATAATGAAGATGGCTCAGGATAGGGCAGGGTTCAGATCTGCTGTCATAGGCTCACTTGTGAGTTGTAGTCGACTCGGTGGCACCTAACATCAACAACAGATGACTGATTAGCGGTGGCACAGCTACTTCATTGTAGAAGGAGAAAACATTTTGATAACAAATTATATCCTTTGTAACAGTCCAACCTTCTGGCCTTCAAGATATTTCTGTTGCTCCTGCTTCCGGTACAAAGATACTACACTTCTCCAAGGGAGAGAATCCATAGTCTAATCCAGTTACTGCTTTTAGCTCAAAAGAATTTTCGGGTGATTTCTTTTTTTTCTCTTTTATGTTCTGAAATGGCTCCTCATGTTTCAGGAATCTGTAAACTTGAAGAAAGCATATAGTAATGATATGATCAAATTTAATGAACAAAATTTGTGAAAATTCGCTACTGAGGCTTTAGAGTAAATTTCTTTTTTTAAATTTAATTTTCAACTACTCATATGCAAGTTCAAGCTAAAGCTGAGGAAAATTAAACCAAATCCAAGG